TTCTAATTATTAAGGCCCCTAACATATTTCGGCAGGGGCCTCCCGATTGAGGTCCTATGGCGGAAGAGGCTTTCTCGAGCTGAAAGCCCGAACCCCTTCGGCCCTTCATCCTTAATAGCAGCAGCAACGGTGATAGTGATAGTGCTAGTAATAGTGATAGCGATAGTAAGAGTAAGAGTAAGAGCAAGAGTAAGAGTTAGAGTAATAACTTGGATCCATTTTTGCGCAACATTGTTGCGACAAAATGAGCTTTCAGTCAGCTTGAAACTAATCGCACTCGAGAAGCCACCGGATTCTCCTTTCCACCAGGACTCTGTGTCCAACGTGGCTGCAGTTGGGAGTGACCCTCCAGTCGTGTTGCCCGGCCGCTTGTGGATGAATCTACTGTAAGGTTTCGGCTGCGGGTTTAGGTGGTCGCAGTGGTGAAGTGGCAGGGCACGGTAGGCTTTAGGCTTAAGCGAGTTATGGGGTTGGCTGAATTTTCTTGAGGTTGTAAGGGCAAAGATCGCAGAGGGTAAGCCTACACTCCCGCGAGTTCCACGTAAGCGCGTTACGAAAGTCCGACTTTTTCTGACAAGTTTGGGACGCAGGCCTTCAAGCTCAACATTCATCCTGTAGGCAGAGCTTGTTGCAATCCGGGTAAGTCCCTATACCATTAAGTGAGCTCTGCTTCTGGAAGCTTCCGTACTAAACCCTAAACCAGGAACCCAAGACGCTCTCCAAGAATGGATCCAGGGTTTTCTACCCCCAGCTGAAGCCACGTCTTTGCGGTTGTATTGTGAGAATGAAAGCAATCACGGGAACTTGCGATTAGGAGTTTTGGCAGTGCCTGACGTGGAGCTTGTTCTACTTCATGTTACATTTCCCGCGGAGACACTTCGTTTGCCGGATGTTATACAAGTTAGGAGAACCCTCGCCCCTTTGGTGTGAGAGTCTGTTAGTGCGACGAGCGCGCGGAAGGGGGCAAAGGGCTCTGGGTATGTTGTGTGACGTGAAGCCTGTACCCGCACGTCGTTCACTGCCCAAAGCTTCCGGTAAACAGACCCTGACAGACCGCACGAAATGATAGGTCTACCACATCCTACCACTGCGTCTGAGAGCGGTGCACAAAGCCCTGCGTAGACGAATCGGACTGGAAGAACATTCGCCCATGTACCCTCCATTGTCTTCTCAAAGCCGAAGGCTCTGCGCGAGCGGATGGACCGGGAACGCTGCAACCTCAGAGCGAAAGTCTTCGGAAATAGGGAAGGCGGAAGAATTAGCGTGCGACACTTTCAATGGCCCCCGCCCCTCCTGCCAGAATTGTCGCCACACCAACCACGGACCAACACGAGCATTACCACCAACTCCAACAACACCTGCAACACTTCCAACACCAAGAGCAGTTTGCGGCTTGGCATCTTGTGGCTTGAATGGCTTGAATAGTGAGGTTACCATTCCTGTCTTGCCCATGTTATCTGACGATAGTATGATACACCGAACAGCTAGCTCTATCTGCCTGGGCCCGTTTATGTATACAGCGCAAGCAATCGAAGTCGTGCAGCCGAACTGGACCCAGGTCTCGGCTTTTGCTTCGAACGTCGTGAAGTGGTCCCACGCTGGGTGCCGAGTTTATGTGATTTCATGGTCCTAAACCCTAAACCCTAAACCCTAAACCCCGACCCCTAAATACGGTTTTACGACGATCACTCAGGGGCGCTTCGACCTGTAAGCCCCGTCGCACAGAAAATCGAAGTAGAGGATCAGTGACGCGGCTCACGCGGTCACCAGCTCCCCTGCCTGGTATGGCTGGGTGAGCCAGAAACTCCTCCGCAACGGTATATGGGGGTTTCGGAAAATAGGGGACCCTAATAAAGTACCCCAAATAATAGGATCCTTATTATAAGGACCTTAAAATAAGGTACCCCAATTTCGGAAAATCCCATATCTCAACTCGAAGTCGAACGAAGTTCGTAGAAGAGGGAGGCTCGTGGACTCCAAGAGCTCCCGAAAGGTCCAAGTCGAGAGACTCAGCAGGCATTCAAAGACCATGGGCACTAAATGGGGGTCTTTGAAAATAGGGGACCCTAATATAGTACCCTAAATAATAGGATCCTTAATATAAGGACCCCAAAATAAGGTACCCCTAATTTTCGGAAACCCCCAAATAAGCGACACATTCCTGCTCGACACTGTTGTGGTCCATCGCCTTGCATCCCAATGACTACAATGCAGATCCTGAGGATGCGAATGGTGCTGCTGCTGATGCTGATGACGATGGTCGCTGACGCTGAGCATGATGGTAGGGATGATGATGATGATGATGATGATGATGACGATGCTGATGATGGTGATGACGGCGACGACGATGATGATGATTATGATGGTGATGATGATGGCGATGATGATTATGAGGATACTAAAGACATGGAGATGATGACAGTGACGAAGGCTGTGCCTTTTCCATGCTGTCGCTGTCGCTGCTGTCGCTGCTGTCGCTGCTGTCGCTGCTGTTGTTGCTGTTGTTGCCGTTGTTGCTGTTGCTGTTGTTGTTGTTGTTGTTGTTGTTGTTGTTGTTGTTGTTGTTGTTGTTGGTTGTTGGTTGTTGGTTGTTGGTTGTTGGTTGTTGGTTGTTGGTTGGTTGTTG